GAGCCAAAGGAAGAGACTCAACAGGAGGGGAGGAGCCCAAGGGAGCAGGAGCAGGCCCATCAGAGCGAGTAGGTGCATGGGACAGACCAGTAGGCAAGGCGATCTCGAGAGAGGCTGGCAGGGGCGGTGGAGTAAGCTCATCAGAAAACAGATCTGTGGAAGGGTTAGTAAAAAACAGAGAGGGTGAAGGAACGGACAAACGGAAGAGAGAGAGAGAGAGAGAGAGAGAGAGAGGAAAATATTTTGTGTTCCCAAAAGACCACATGACGAGAGATACGAAGTCGTTGGGAGAAAGGATCCCAACAACGATACCCCTTATGTTCAATACCATACCCCAAGAAGCAACAAAGGCGGGAACGGGGTTCAAGTTTGGTACGTTCATGAGGTTGGAGAAGAACAAAACAGGCAGAGCCAAAGACCCTAAGGTTGGTGTAAGGGGGACGAGTGCCATGTAGACGCTCATATGGAGTGTGATTATGAATGACAGGTGTAGGGATACAGTTGATAGTGTAAGCAGCAGTGAGAGCTGCCTCTCCCTAAAAATGTTCTGGACAAGAGGAAGACAAAAGGAGAGCATGAGTAGTGTCGAGAATATGCCGATGTTTCCGTTCAGCACGTCCATTTTGCTGAGACATACCGGGATATGAACGATGAGGTTGAGTACCATGACTCTGAAGGAAGGAAAGAAAGTCAAAATCTTTATATTCCATGGCATTGTCGGAGCGAAAAAGCTTAATAGTTTTAGAAAATTGTGTTTTAACCATTGTAGCAAAATTGTAATAAAGTTGTTTGAGCTCAAAGCGATTTTTCATAAGAAATAACCATGTAAAACGGGAAAAATCATCTATAAAAACAACAAAATAGCGTACACCGCCCATAGTGGGAGTAGGAGAGGGTCCCCAAATATCAGAATGGATGAGATCAAATGGTGCAAGAGAAACAAAGTCACTTTTATTAAACGACAAAGCAGGTTGTTTGGCAAGTTGACAGGACACACAATCTAAAGTATCAGAACTTACAGGACCTAAATGACCACTAAAAATTAAAGATTTTAAACGACCAATAGAAAGATGGCCTAAACGACAGTGCCAAAGTTGAAAAGGAGATAAAAGAGAAGTAGTGGTAGTAGTGGTAGGAGCGGTGATCTGAGAGGAATCCGGAACATGAAGATGGATGAGTTCGTAGAGACGTCCATGCTTACGGCCTATCCCAAGAGTTTGCCCCATCCGAGGGTCCTGCACCAAACAACCAGTATGAGAAAAGGTAACGGTTAGACCATGCTCACATAATTGACTAATGGAGATAAGATTTAAAGTAAGAGCAGGCATAAGATATACATGGGATAAAGATAAGTGAGAGGAGGAAACAGAACCAACATGACTTACAGACAGAAGAGACCCATCAGCAGTATGGATAGAAGGAACATGAGGAGTAGAAGAGAGAGGAGTAAAAATAGTAGGGTCAAAGGTCATGTGATTACAACAAGCGGAGTCAAAGTACCAGGAAGTGTTACCTGCGGTGACAGACAAAGCAGTAGATGGAGGAGTACCAGAATTGTGCCAAAAATGTTGAAACATGGCTTCGACATCTGTTTGAGAGAAGACTGGAGTGGAAGGGTCTATAGGGACAGAGGAAGGTAAATCCTCCAAGGCAGCAACAGCAGTGCGTTGAGCAGTCATTGGTTTAAACGGAGTCCCAAAACGATGAGAGTTGCTGCGGGAAAAATGCCCAGTGGAAGGACCATTGCGAGAGGCACGGGCGGGATTGCGGAAGCAATCTTGCTGGAGATGACCAGGACCAGTCTTGTTGCAAAATCGACAAAGACGAACTGGACAATTAACCAGAAGATGAGTCGATGGAAGACTGCGGTTTTGACAGTAGTTGTAGAGAGTTGACTTCTGCGGTGAAGGTGGTGAAGGAGAACTCCGAATCTGGGGAGTAGCAAGAACAGAGTCCACAAGGTGCGGATGGAGAGTACCAAACCTGGTTTCCTCGGACAGTAGTTCAGAAATTGCTTGCTCAAGAGTGGGTAAAGGAGTGCGATGAAGGAGAGATGCGCGTACTGGCTCAAAACGGGGAGTGAGAGCCATGAGAAACTAAACCAAGCGATGTTGGTCACGGTAAGTAGTAAACAAGGCAGCATCATTAGTACAATCCCATGGAGGTTCAGAAAGAGCGAGCTGATCCCAAACATAATACATTTGGGAGAGGAAATCATTAATGTTTTGAGTTGTATCTTGGCGCATAGGGTGAAGATGGCTCAGAAGTTGATATTGGTGAGCAAGGCCAGTAGTTTGATAGCGTTCTTGTAAAAAATCCCAGATGGCCTTGGCTGGAGAGGAAGTAGAGTCAAGTTGGAACCGACCAAACTGAAGGCTGATGGATGTAATAGAAGTATTGCGAAGCTAAGTGATGATCTGATAGTTTTTACTATCCCAATCCTCCAGACGGTCGACATATTTGGCAGCAGATTCCGTGGTGGCAGCGGATTCCGTGGTTGCTTGGATGGGTTTGCACACATCCCCAGTGATGATGCGCCAAAGTTTCTTTCCTTTGAGGAACCCAGACATAGCTTGTGCCCATAAGACATAGTTAATCCCGTTAAGAACAACAAAAATAGGGTGGTTAGAGGAGTCCAGGCGATCCATGAGGGAAAAGCAGTACTATCGAGGTAGAATCTGAAAAATCCAAGGTTACCAGTGAATTCAGAGGGTCGAAATCAGTGGGAAAGGAGTGAACTGACCCAAAAATATGACCAGAAAGGCACTAAATTGGCCGGTCAAAGGGAGTTGACTGTGCTGGTCAACAATGTTGGTCAAACAAGGTCAAACAAGATGATGTCACGACTGTAGAGGCGTGGCGCACGTTAGCAGAGAAGGGCGCGATATACGATAGCAGAGGAGAACAAGCGGCGCACGAAAGCAGCCAGGGTTGACGTCGGCTGACGTCAGAAACACGCGGCTCACGTTAGCAGAGGAGGCCGCGGCGCACAATAGCACGGGACAAGTGTAGGAGGCGCGTAGAGCGCGTTTGAGAATGAGGAAGCGCGTGACTGAAAGTTTTGGCGGCGCGTGGAGGCGCGTGAAACGTCAGATGAGGATGAATCTGGTGGCGTTGGATTCGTCGTGAGGAGACGAAGGATCTGGTGTGGTCCAATCTATAATTGAGAGAAGGACGAGATAGGCAACAATCTGCCAAACAGAAAATGTGATGCAGCGGAAGAAGAGACTAGGCAAAACACCTGTGCTCTGATACCATGTAAAATATAAGAGAGTGATACTGAAAGAGCAAGTAAGCTCTATAATTCAATGTGTATAGAAAGAGTAAGAAGAGGCTCCATTATATAGGAGCTGCTATACAACATCATCATGAGATACAAAACATATAAAAAGGAAAAGAGATCGAAAGCAGCCGAAAGCAGAAGAATCCTATTCTAATCCTATATCTAGCTGTGATTGCATAACTAGCTGTGATTGCATTAATATATACATTATATATAGACATTATATATTAACAATCTATATCCTGGTCCAAAAATATTTCTAGTTGTATGGTGAAAAGTTTGGGTACATCTCCCATAATTCAAATCATTCTTGAATACTTATAAGCACATTTTCTTTAGATTTTAATCAAAAAGTAGGAGGGTCCAAATCAGGAAAAACTGAATATTTAAACCCAATTCCCAAATTCTTTTACATTTTTCTCTTCATTGTTATTTTTTTCCCTCTTTATTTTCCCCTCTCTATTCATTTTATGTGTTTGCATTCCTTTTTTCGGAGCTTCTTTGAGCCTGAGGTGGTCATCTAAGGCACTTCAGTGTCGTGAACCATTGAAGATGTTTTGGGAATCGTTAAGCCCTTGTAGGAGTGGCAAAATTATTATGTGCTCTTGGGAAATGCCTCAGCAGCCCAAGGATGAAAAACTTTATGGAGTGTCAGACAAGTCATTTTGGCATCTCTTACGCTCTTGTGATAGCCAAGTTAGTCATGTGGTTATGACTTTGCTTTGGACTGCTTTCACTATATGTATAATGTAATATGAGAAGTCGTTAGCTAGTTTTGGGATACCCATTTTTTAATGATGTTATGATTGATAGAGGGAGTGAGATTCATGAATTCATATTGAATAATTGAAAAATATGAAGGGATATTTAGGAAACATAAGGGGATATAGTAAATTATAATTAATATAGAGTATAGTCATATGACAACCCAAACTCAACCAATAATTTTTTCATGTATTCCGCAATGTAAATATTTGTTTTTCCATGGTCTAGAAACAGAAAGTTTCAGATCAAGGGAAATCTAACTGTTAAGCAATTGTTGACCATCTGCTAGCATCTGCAGAGAGGTCTGTCTATCAAGAATAGGGATGGCCACGGGACAAGTTTGGGGCGAATTTGTCATTCTCTGGTCCTGTTCTTGCCAACAAACTTTGTCGCTGCCCGACTTTCGCAATGGGTGGAAATTTTCAACCCCACCTCCACTCCTGCGGATGCCCAATACCCGCAGATATAGGACCACATTTCAAAAAAATTGAGAATCATTTAAAATCTTAGCAAACTAAATAATTTTCCTTCTTTCCATATATATAAACAGTGAGACTTTTACAATTATTATTTATTTATATTGAAACAAAATCAAACTGATAGCACATTGTCTTCTTTATGATATATTTCTTGGTCATTACCAACTGACGTTAGAGCATCTCATGCGTTTAATGTCAAAATAAAAGTCAAAAGTCAAATTATATTAGATGTTATTATTTGACAATTCTACTATAATAGTGCAAATATTTTTGTTTTTTATTTTATTTTTATTGTAAAATGTCAAATGAAAATGCTTTTTTGTTTTTGTTATACCTTTTTTCTAAACACCTTTTTTTTACCCCTAAGTTATTTGGCCAATTCTAACTTACAGCGGAGGTTGTTTTCAAGTCAACAAGAAAAATCCATGAGTAATAAGGCTTAGTCTAACACCACTTCCAGAAGTTGGCTTTTTTTTTAGGTTAATGGAAATCAAGTGTTGGGAAATTGTAGGACATCTTCTGGCATCTGTGCAAAGAGATCTATCAGGAAACTATTCAGTATTTCATAGAAAATTGCTTTGAATCTTCCAGGAAACTACTCAGTCTTTCAAAGGTATTTTCTTTGATTCTTTCCATTTCTCTGTTTGCTTTGTCTTCTATTGCTTGACTTGAGACTAATTGCAGCTGCTGTTAATAGAAAGGTTTTCCATAAAGGGAAGACGGCAGGGAAAGGGAATTTGTTTTTAGAACTACATGTGAAATGGCTACTGATCATTTACAGTTTCTGAAGAACAAATTCATCAATGACTTTGAAGAAGCAGAGGGGGGAAGAATTCGTAGAATTCCCCCTACGGATTCATTTTGTTAAGATTTCAGAGGTCTTGTGTCAAAAGAGGATTGACCCCTGGATGCCCATAGGACTGAAAGATCCTCTGTATGACCTCAAGTTCGCATTGGCTGATTGTGTCATGTTAGCAGAGAAGGAGAGAGACCGCATTACCAAAAACAAGAAAAGTCTCTTATTAAGGTCTCATCATTATGTCAAGAAGCAATGGTTTCTTTTCAAGATGAAATGGAAACTTCTCCGCATAAAAAACGAGTTGCTGTAAAACATGAGCGATGTTGACGTTGCAAACATTGTAGATGAGAGGCTTTCGTCCTCGAGCTTGATCAGGGTTTGTCGACCAACAGACTTTCCAAATTTCAATCTCACTCTGATTCATGGTTTCAATAATCATTTGCGGAAGATGAAAGCTTTGCTCCTAGCTATTACATTTGATACTGATAATTTCAGTGCAATTGGTATCGTAGGGATGAGAGGATTAGGTAAAACTACTGTTGCTCAAATGGTGTTCCGTAGCTCTAGAGTCCAAGAAAGTTTCTCCCCAATGTTATGGGTTGAGTTACCTCAATATCCAGATCTAAGATCCATTGTCTTGGCTATTCTCGAATGCTTGGCAAGCGATTTCTCTTCATTTGGCAACACTTCTAATCTTGATGATCTTTTGCGGAATTTGGACATTTACTTGTTTAATAAGAAGTATTTGATCGTGTTGGACAACATGTGGCCTGCTTCGAGTGATGATTTGGATTTCAACAAGTACGTAACTCCACTCTGGAATGGATTTCTGAGGGGAAGTGGGGGTGCCATCATCATCACTAGTAGACTGAAAGAAGTGGGAAGTGGATGGTGGGTGACCTCAACTTGTATGAACTTGAGCCCATATTGGACAGAGAGTCGTGTTGGTGCATAATTCTAGATTCAATTAGAAAGAAGTATTTGTATCACCAGATATTATGAAAAATGAAGGATGACATGGTAGATAGGTGTGGTGGTCTTCTATTAATTGTAAAGACCTTAGCTGAGATAATTTCAACCGAGTAAATTTTCTGACTCAAATCTAGCCATTTTAATTTTGGTCTTTCTTGGTTATGCCTTGAAATCTTGTACTAGGTTAATGATTCACTGCAACATCAAATTCCATCTAGAATTATAGGGTTATGGTTTCGATCCATATGATGAATGTCTTTTCTCCATGTCAATACTTGCTCGTTTGGTTGGGTTTTTGCTTTTTGTTTTCTTTTTTAGAAAACCCAAACGGTGAATTGTTTCTGAAAACAACCCACTATTTAGGAAACTCCAAAAAGTTGTTTTCAAAATTTTGAAAACTGTTTTCGGGAAGGAAAAAAAAATTGAAAATGATACGTGAACTATGAATTTTTTCAAACTTTTCATTGTTTTGTTTCAAAAAATATGAAAAATAGAAAACAAAAACACAACCAAACTACCTCACTCTCTCTCTCTCTCTAACATACTACTGTTACATGCTCAGGTTTTTGAAAGATCCGACTGCAATTAAGGTCTGGTTCCCTCACTTTCTTCAACATTCAATTTCATTTCTACATTTAAATCCTTTTTGTGGGTTTTGAACATCCATGTTGTTTAATCAGTTTTTAATTTACGATCTCATTTCCCCATTGTCTCTACCACAATTGGAATTTAAAAGCTTGGCCAATTCTAACTTACAGCGGAGGTTGTTTTCAATTTGTTCTTGTAGATGTTTCGCTTGGTATTCGATAAACCTGTTGCACCCACCTCAGAGCTCCTGAAGAAACTTAGGACCTATTCAGGTATATCGAGGCTAACATTCTTCTTTTTTTTTTTTCTTTATCTTTCTTTGAAAAACTTCTTTTCATATGAAAAACTAGTCTCACTGAAGCATTTATGATGTGGCACTAAAAGAACAGAATAATAAGTTGGAGGAAGAAACTGGGGAATCACAATCTGAAATCAATATCTTAATAATCAATACTCAAATCATATCATAGTCTAGTTAATAAACCATTACATAAATAAAATTTTATTTAAACCCTTATTCTTAATTATACTAAAAATCTTATATTCTTCAATTTATTGTTATCCAACACTTTCGTTCTGTGACTCCGTAGGAGTTTATTATGTTGAAATTGTCTCTGATCACAACAATGAAGTAGAAGCAGGAGGAAGTTGTGATCCTGAAAAAGTAGTGGAAGACTTGAAGAAACTTTTCCAAGCAGAGATCACTTTAAAGATAGATAAGAATAATACAATCAAGAATCAAAGAAGAAAGAAGAGCCTACAGAAAAAGAATCTGGTGAAGAGCAACCCATGGATTTAAGAAGAAGAAGACAGAACTAAATCATCTCCCTAGATTTTTTGAAGTGAATCCGAGTGCACGAGTATTAGTTCCTCTCTGTTATCTGTTTTTCAAGTTTGAAATGTGAAAAAAATGATGGTTTGTTCTTCTTGATCCACCATCTCAAGTGTCAATTGCAAAGCCATGTATGCTAAGCAGGAGTGTAAACGGTTTTCTTTGATTGGCATTCAGAGAAAATTTTGCGCCGAATTGATTCCTTCATTTTGTTAGTTGAGGAATCAAAACCGATCGCATACTGTTTGTTAGTTTTATCAATTTAGTGTAAATGATGGATTTAATAGGTGAATTTAAAAGTGTTATAATATTCTATAGAATGTCAGTGATAGTGTATAATTTTAATTGGGATTGATACATTTTCTGATTATGGGACTCATAGTTCTGGACCAATCAGATTATATGTTTTGTTCTCATACTTTCACACACTTTAGGAGTCCTTTTCATTTAATGTTTGTAATTGGTATTAGAGCTTGGTGAAGAGCTTTTGAAAGCAAGATCAAGCTATGTAAGTATTTCTCTCTACGTCTAAATTTTTGATATATATAAGTGTGTATGGTGTGCTTTATGCTATAAAAAAAAAAAAATTAGTCAAGTTTAGTATTTAATTGTGTATCATTTGTATTTTATATCTTCATAATTATTTGTTTCATTTATAGTTGTTGTAAAACCTATATGCTTAGTGTATGTTAAAGCCCATATACTCATTAAGATCTTTTGACTATTAGCCATAATTAAGTCTTTAAGATCATAAAGAGAGGTTTCAGGTACCGGATAAATACACTAGGAGGGTCTTAGGTACTAACAACAATCTATAATGACAATTAACCGGATAAATAGTGTTAATAATAAATATGACCATAGTTTGCATATTACTAAAGAGTCTGCAAATATAAATAATGTGTGTTCTAGTTTAAATAATATTACGGATATTATGTGTTCTTGGTTTTCTAAATTAGATAAAAATCAAAAAATAAATCAAAATTATCTAAAAACCAAAGTTGAGTCTATAGAATCTAAAATAGACAATTTCGGTTTTATAATAAATATTGACTTATACAAAGAAACAAAAAACCAAATAAACAATTTGGTGACAAAATTAGAAACTATATCCTTCATAAACAGTGATGGAATGAATAGTCCAGGAGATAATTGCATTCCTAGGCTATTTTATGGTACATAAGATATTATGGTACTTCAAACCAATACCTATAATAGGACTGAATATGAAAATATTGTTGAAATATTGGATTATTGGAGAAAATTATATAAAGACCCCGATTTAGATATTGATGAAAGAAATAGGCTACTAGATCAGATAAGAGAAACTTATCTAGAACATGAAGCCCTTTTAGAACACTTTAATTATGATATTAATATGTCAACTAATGATGATGATATCCAATCATCCTCATCTGAAGAAACATTAGATCAAGATATTTCACCAGAAATAAATAAAGGGAAAAGAAAAGCAGAAGAGCAAATTGATCTCGAATTATTTGGCACATGGAGAGATGGAGAAAATTTTGACTTTATTCAAACAAATGAAGTTAAAAATGATGCTAACACTGGAAATACCTCCAATCCTACACCTGAGCCAATAATATCTAGAAAAGATAATAATGATAAGTATCTAATAATTCAAAATTGTACTTATTTAGACTTGTCTCATGTTCCATTTAAGGATCAGGAACAAGTAATTGATGATTGGGCATAATCCTTGTCCATCATTATTACCAATTATAAAAATAGTTAGTCAAAGGAGAAATTCCTTGATTATATTGCAGCAACTTTCCAGGGAGGTGTGTTGCAATGGTTACGACAGTGAGAAAAATCTGAAATTGGAAAAAGTCAAAAAACGACTTTGTTGACAAATTTTCTCACACTTGACACAATTTTAGCTGAGTTTGCAAAAATCATAAAAGAAAATTTATGTGGTTTTGCAGGAGACTAATTTGCAAGCAAATGCAAATTATATTTTGACTAAATTAGAACTATGTAATATTTGTCTTTTTGAAAACTATGTTCAAACTTTTAAAAAATATTATTATCTTATTAATCCACCAGCAAATCGACCTTGGCTAGACCAATTTTTCTGTAAACTCCCTAATCCATGGGATGAGTTATGTATTAAAACATATCCTGATTTTCTCAAAAAAATGGGGAGGGAAGAATATGATAATCTCGATTTTCACATTAATTATGTTCTAAGACTGATAGCAGATCGGTGTCTAGAAGCAAAGGCGAAAAAACAAATAAAAAATTAAATTTTCAACTCACAATACGGTAAAAAATGTTGTGATAAAATTTTAAAAGAATATTGAAAAATTGGTTGTAATATATTTCCTAAACGAAAAGGATTTTCCAAAAAACGTAGAAAATATAAATAGAAATCTTGGAAAAAGAACAAAACTTTTTTCAAAAAAGAAAAAGTATATTCGAAAAAAGAAACCAACAAGTGTTTCAAAAAAGAAAACTTGTAAATGTTACATTTGTAACGAAAAAGGTCATTATGCACCAGAATGTCCAAAAAGGAGAAAAAGTGCAAAGAAAATGATCAAAGTTCTTGAAGAACAAGATTTTGAAATAATATATGGCGAGGAAATTTCTAATGAAGAAGAAATCTTATACGAAATTTTTAGTGATGAAAAAAGTTCAGATGAAGAACTAATCTTCATGATGACTAATATTAACAGTCAAGAAATATCTCAAGAAGCAGATAGTATATCTCAAGAAGAATTACAGGTAATTCGACTTGGAGATGTAATCGGAGAAGAAAAAACTTTTACCGACGAAGAATTAGCAAAATTCGAAAAAATGCAAGAAGTCGTTGTTCTAGAAATTTACAAACTTTCAAAATTCAACTTCTTTTCAATAAGAGTGTTTGAACAATATAGTGGTAACACTCAAGCTAAATGGTTAGAAGAAGGAAATATTGATATTCTTTTTTTTGATATGAAAAAGGTTGCAAGATGGAAAAAGAAATATCCTGAAATTCTATATATTCATATTGGATTAATTCAAGTAACCATAACAGCCTTATTTCGTCAAGGGATAGATACTCCTATTTTGGCAGTAATTTTTGATAAAAAGATTTTCTGACCCAATGAAAGCAATCATTGGAGGAATCCAATCTAATTTGGCTAATGGAGTAGTTTGGTTTAATGTTAGACCAAATTTCTTTATTTCCATAAATGATTATAATCTTGAAGACACAGTTAGAATAAGAATTAAAACACAAGAATTAGGAATGAAATCAAATTCTCATGATTTGGCTATTTGTTGGAAAACAATGCACGAATTAACCAAATTTCCTGAAACAAAAACAAGATCAAATGATAATAAAATCGTTGAAATCTTTGAACCAAGATCATTTGACACGATAATACAACCTCGTCTAATGAGTTGGAGTGATTTAGAAGTCCGTCGACAATGGTTAATCCATGACCTAGTGAGACAAGGAGAATCTTCTAAAACAAAAAATCCTGCACAATTACAAATGCAAGCATCAGGAAAAAATTTATATATTGAAAATACAATTCCAAAAATTAAAAGGTCAACTTCTATATTTGAAAAAGATTTTCCTAACAAATCATTTTCAAAATTATGCATTGGAGAATCTAGTAATAATTCTAATCAAGAATCTATTACTTCAAATAATGTTCAGATTCTTATTTTCCCAGGAACAAGAAGACAAATTGAACATATTAAGTCTGCATATATGTATCATTTTCAAACAAAAAATGATGATATTATTTTTTCTCCTAGCCAAGGAAAAAGACGATACACATATATATTGAGAACATTTAATTTTGCAGGTTATAGACCCTATAGCCTCAGTGTTCTCATAGATACTAGAGCTACAGTCAGCTCATGTAAATGGAATGCCATACCAAAAGAAAAATGGACGTTCGGCAACCATACTTCCATACAATTCAAGGCTAAAAATATAGCTATTTGGTTAAATGATAGCAAGTTCATTATACCAAAAATTTTATGTTTTCCATATATGCATGGAGATTTCCTTCTTGGAAACAATTTTATATATAAATACCTTCCAATGCAAATACAGGAAAAAGCCATTTCATTAAGCATAAACAATGTCTTAATTCATATTCCATTATGAGAACAACATAAATATATTTGTGATAAAGAGTTTGTGCCCGTGCCGCGTGGTGATTTAACCCCTATTATCAAAGCCACTGATGAGTCATACTGGATTTATAAAATTTTAGAAGAAAATTTTAGTGAACATCCATTAAAACTATGGCAACGTAGCCCACGTTATTGTATTTTAAAATTGAAAGACCTTAATGTTATCATTAGAGTAAGACCAATGATCTATACTAGACAAGATATAGATGAATTTGATATTCAACTTCAGGAACTTTCAGACAAAAAGTTAATTGAAGAAACTAAAAGCCCTCACTCTAGTCCAGCTTTTATGGTAAGAAACCATGCTGAAATTAAAAGAGGAAAAACTCAAATGGTAGTTAACTATAAACGGCTAAATAAAAATTTAGAATTTGAATGATATTTTATTCCACGAACAGATGTTTTGATTAACTTAACCAAAGGATCAAAAATCTTTAGCAAATTTGATTGTAAGAGTGGATTTTGGCAAATTCAATTAACTAAAGAGTCAAAAAAATTGACAGCTTTCAGTACACCTAGAGGACATTACTACTGGAATGTTATGTCTTTTGGGTTAAATATAGCACCATAGGTATTTCAACGGTGGATGGATACAATTTTAAAGATCTTAAAGATTGTTGTGTAGTTTATATTGATGATATACTTATCTTCTCTAAAACTAAGGAGGAGCATAAGAAACATTTAAAATTACTTCGTGAAAAATTTCAAAAACATGGAATTATTTTGTCTCCAAAAAAGATTGAACTAGAAAAAGAATCAATTGAATTTTTAGGAATAATTTTAGACTAGAAAGGTTTAAAATTACAAGAACATATTTTGTCCAAAGTACAAGATTTTGGTGGTACTCTTGAAAATATAACACAATTACAGGGTTTATTAGGCATTTTAAATTATGGACGAAATTTTATCAAAAATCTTTCAAAAATAGAAATTCTTTGGTTAACCAGATTAAGGAAAAATGTTATTTTTTGAATGGATAGTAAAAGATGTTGCTTTAATTAAACAAATTAAAGAAAATGTTAAAACTTTACCAGATGTCTATTTTCCTAAAATAGGTGATAAATTAATTTTAGAAACAGATGCCTCAGAAGCATGCTGGGGATGTGTTCTTAAAGTAATACCAAGTAATTTATGGCATGATAAAGAGATACCTTTATTAGAAAATGGGATTAGACCAAGAAAAAATCCAATACCCATAAAATTACAAAAAGAAGATTTAATTT